TTATTTAAGTGTTATTTTTGTCTACACTATTAAACCAAAATGTGATATAATTTTACGAATGGAAAGATTATGAGGTACTCTTGAATACATTTGATTAGTTCATTCGAAAAAAAATAAGTTCATAAGCAGTTATTTTATGTTAAACCAAAAATGGATAAATATTGCCGTGTATTATATATGGCCGCCGCCTCGGCGGACGAATCCGTGACGTCACGCGCAATGTCATAAGTCACAGTAACTAGCGAACGAATAGTCACAAACGAATTTTAGTTGTATCATTATCTTAGTTAGACTCTATTCTATTTATTAGAGTAAAAAAATAATTATTGATTTTTTGAGTTGGATGGTCCTTTAAGGTCATTCTCTGTTAGAGATTTGTTCAGTTTAAAATAGATTTTCAATATTATATTTACTAAGGAAATATAATTTACTGCTTTAAACTACTTCAATTATTGATGTTATGACATTATAAAATCAATTCTTTAATACATTTTAAAAATATCAGTTCGTTAATGTAAATTAACTATTCAATAATCATATTATCATGAGGGTATAGCCTTCTATTAGATGAAAAAAATAATATCAAACTGTTTATCTTAGGTATCTGTATAACGTATATTATAGTATTCATATTTTGTACAATATTTATACTTAAAGCCACTTCTTTGAACAATTTAACAAAACTATTATTATCCAATCTTTTCTCGGGTTGAATTACTTTTTTCTAAAAGTAATTGAAATATGTTTTTTTTATATAAAAAATTATTTAAATATTTATGGAGTATGCGGATAAGTATGTATTTAAATTTTAAATTTTGTCCTTTAAATCATGTTTTATATTATTTGCAACTTTTTGAAACAAATATGAAACGACTATATACTTGGTTTTTCAATTAGATAAGTCACGACTTTATCATAACAATCAAATAACCCACTGACAAAAAATAAAAAATAAAATAAAAATACCGTACCACTTATATTACTATTTTATTCAGTGTCGTCATTTGAGGGAGTCATGCTCTAAATTTTGACTTTTATTTTCTTGTATATGTCGCTAGTTCGCATATAATAGAACATAGTTGTTTTGTTATATGTCAAAAAATATAACTGATATAAAATCATAATTTGAAAAAAAAAAATGTTTGTACAACGTACTACGTACATAAACGAATAAAAGGCTGTGTAAGCCTGGACGTGAATTATCCAAACAATTTTTGTATTATGCTGAAATTAAGTTTTTCAATTCTCATTCATGTAATATTACCTCTCACTAAACCATAAATTAAACACATTAAAAAAAAAAAAAAAATTAACAAAGATTTTAGGGGAAACAAATTAGCATTGGATCTGAAAAATTGATTTGATTTAAATGTTTTCCATTCATTGAACATTTATAACTATGCTTCTGTTCCATATATCTGTCAAATATTTGAACACGAATTCCCAAAATATGACAAACATTTAATTTTAGGAGAAAATATTTAATTACTTTACAAACAGTTGCGATTTTAACAAAAGTTAATTAACAAATTTCTCGGTGTTACCATATTTTTGGTTAAACCTTTATGGGTTTATGTACATATGAAATACCAGGTCGAATAATTTGTTATTATACTTATTGAAAATATTTTGTTGTAATATTTTATGCTTACATTTATTAAAGCTATTCATTATATGTAAACTAAAACATAGTTTTAAATATTATTTTAATTTTAATTTATGAATTATTATTCCACTAAATATTGGATATTTTTACATTGTTTCAAAACAATTTGGTTATTGTGATGTAGGTATTTTATGTATGCTATATAAATATTATTATTATTGCCAAGTCATTAAGCCTTAACAGCTTAGTATACCTACTGTTAAAAAGAATTTAATCAAGTTGCAATTTTTATCCTTTGGCTGTAAAAAGTAAATTTCTTCTGTACTCTCATTAATATATATATATATATATATATTTAAAAATGCAGTAAGTAAATAATCGCTCTGCTATATATTTTCAAGTATCGTCAGTGATGTATATCTCTTGTCATTGAGTATAAAAATTATGTAAATGTATATATAATTTTCAAGCGATATTTGCTATTAATTTAGTGCAATATGTTTTTTTCGATAAGTTTTTAATACAGACTGCATAGTATTATATTTAATAATTTTGGCCTAGTTGATATTATACATTTGACATAACTCCTGTAATGGATGCTCTTAAAATTAAATGATTATTGCATATAAAAACTATTTATAAAATTAAATATTAAAATGTCTTTTAATTTAATACTAACTTACCAAACAACTGTGCAAATAAAGGCTAATCAAAGTTTGAAATCCTTACAGATAATATTTTTGAATTATAGCAAAATATCAAAAATAAATATTTTACGTTTAAGTATCTAATTCATAATCTGAACCAACTCAAGCAGACATATTTCCTAACCACTTATCTAACACTTTCCAATAACATTATAATATTATTTATTCAAACTAATTAAAGAAAGTTGAAAATTATCTCAACTGCTCTTTTAAAAAAACTATATAATATATAAAGAATTGTTTCTACCAAAAAAGATATTGAAATCGAAAAATAAAATAAAATAATAATAATAATAACAACAAAAACACATATAATTTTAAAATCTATAAATGTATTGTTCCACTCGGATTCTAAAATAAGTATTAAACAATAGTAATTATTTTGATTGCAAAGCTAAAGTTTTCAATTTTATTTATTTTTAACTGTTTTATCTTTTAAAGTGTTTATTAGTATATCATAACTTTCTTATTATTAAACATTTATACATAAATGATAAGATAAAAAATATTATATATTTCAGATGATGAAATCAAAAGTAATAAATATTCATTAGACACATTGTTATAACAATATCAAAAGTTAACAAATATGAAGGTAAAAATCCAATTATCTATTACATTGTTACGGATAACTTAATTCATCATGATTGGCAACTAATTGTAAAATTATTAAATGTTTTATGTAATATGTATTGTTAATATTCATAACGTTAAAAGTCATAAGTTAAGCTATAACAATTACTATGTGGAGTCCAACCAGATTTAGGGTTGGCGATTGAGGGTTGTTACTTATAGTTGTAAGTGCGCCGAAGTGCCTCATAGACAGATGCTTAAAAATTTAAATACCTCATTTTTTTTTTTTTTTTAAATTACCATAAAAACTGAAATTTGAGATTAAATTTGGGGTTGAATTGATTACGCACCTACTATAATAAATGTTATCAGGAAAGTTGATCGATAAAATTAAACAAAAAAAAAAAAAAGAAAAAAAAGAAAAAGAAATATTAACAACTTTTATATCACTGTAGTAAATGTTGTCATTGGTCTGTATAATCTACTGTAGTTTATGTACAAGTCTATTCTATAAAATTTGTGCTATAATAAAATGAAGTCGTTGAAAGTTTTTACAATGAATAGAGAAATATAGTATAGCATTTCTAAAATTACTGCTTTACTGTTTAACAAATAATACTCAACTAATTTCAAAAGAAGTAACGTTACGTTGCAGTTAAGAACAAAATAAAAAAACTACCAAATTATTGAAAACTAAAAAAATATATTAAGTATATGATTTCATTATTTTTGCCGTTTACTTCCGTTTTATATATTATTAATTTTTTTAAATATATTTAACCCGTTAATGATTAATTTACAATAAATAATAAACTTATTAAGCATAAAATAGTTTTTGTTTTTACTATAATCTATTGAATTAATATTTTCATATATACTATACTTACAATATAATTGTAATACAGTTTAAAATTTTTTTTAATAAAACTTTCAATTTATACTTAAAAAAAAAAAAAAACATAACAATAATAAATATAATTTTTGTTATTATAATATATATACTTTGCTTACATTCAAGTATGAATTTTGAAAAATTTTTTTATCTAAAATTTTCCAGAAATATAGGTATAGAATTAAATCGAAATAGGTCATATTGCTACCACAATGTTACACATCTTATTAATATGACTGAAAAATTTACATTTGTATAATATGTTTAATATTTTAAGTATTATGGCTTTATACATTTTACAAAATATGCATTAAAATTCACAACATTCAAAAATAATTCACTTTTTGAGGATTTAGCATTTTTTACATTTTAACTTATTATTGAATTTAAAGGGTATATATTTCAATATATCCCAGCTATTTATAAGTAAATAGATGTAAAAAGTTGAATGATAACTGTTTTTTATTTTTTTTATTTATTTATTAGTGTTTAATATTATAATTTTATTGTAAAATTCTAAAATATATAAAAATACTAAGCACCTATACTTAGAAGATTTTTTTCAAAAATAATATCTTTTTAATTTATTTTAGAACTAGCCAACGATCTTAAATTGAAACAAATAAAGCAATTGTTTGAATGTACTAATTTGATGGTCAAATTATGTTGTGATTTTGAGGAAATAATTTTTATTCATAGTTTTAATTTTTACCTAGAGACAAATAACCTCCACAGTTCACGAATACCGAGTGTTAATAACTTGTGTAACTATTTACCTAGGAGTTGGAAAATAATGTTTACATTATAACAAATTTTAAACCTATAATATAAATCGTTACGTTTGATAAACGGTCTAATAATTTTATTTTTATATATTTCTCGACGGTTGTCAGCAGTTTTTCTATGCACTTAGAAAAATCGTTGAGGTAAACGTAAAATAATCTCATGGCTCAATTTCTAATCGATGATAATAGGGTCACATAAAACCTTTTAACTAAAAAAGCAGTGACAAAAAAAAAAAAAAAAAATGTTACAAACGATATCATAGTTAACCAAATATATATATTTTTTAATTCAATAAAATGTAGATGTTTGTATAAGTACTATCTTTGATTTTAGAATGTACTTTAAAATCATATTCTAAAATAAATGATATTATCATTAAAAATAATTATAAATTTGTTTTAAAATACATTTTGATAAAATTTTAATTTTTTTTCAGGTGATTAGAAAAATACGAAGATGATAGTGATTTTAAAATAATCTTTTAAGTATTTTTTCTACAAAGTAAATTAATTTAAAACATATTAAAAAGTGTGTTTGGAAACTTTTAAGTGGTATCTACAATATAGATTTAAAAATAAAGTGAACTATTTTTAATTTCAATTCACATGTTATCTAAAATGCAATTACAATTGATATCAATATGGTTGATGACGTTTCAATGGATCTCCAATTCAGGTAATTTAAATCTTATTACTAAATTTAGTAAGTTATTGATTAAGATTAAACTTAATGTTAAAAACTGAAATAATAAAATTTAGAAATGTTAAAGGTTAATTTAGTATAATCGTTGGTTAATGTTTATAAAAAAAAAATCTTTTGTATATAATAAAATGTTGGCGTTTTATACTTAAATTTTTGAATTACACACAACTTAAACCATTTAGTGAGTTTTATATTTTGTTTATCGTAATAAAAATTAAAATATTTCTATACAACACTATATTAATAGAAATATAATTCTTGTACGGTAAGTTAGTAAATCGGTTCTGAAATAAAAATAATGCACTGCATAAAACATCAAAGGTTCATATCTTAAGCCAATTGTTTTGAATATTTCAGTATAATAGTTTGAGATGTCGTAAAAAAGAAAGAGAAAAGAAAACCGTATTTATCCACCAAGTTAGTATTCAAAAGTTTTATGCGGTCAACGGTTTTTTTTTTTTTTTTTGTCTCACTGGACCGGCACAATAAAAGATGTCCGCTTAGCAGTCTACAAGAGAAATACGTATTTTCTTGTTCGGCAGTTTTACTAATGGCATTTGGAAACAAAGAAATTTCCCTAAAGGGCTTATGCGTCACGGTCGGTGAAATCCGTATTCATCTTATGCTTTTTTTTCGTCACCCAATCTGTTTATCAATGCGAAATGAGTCCAAAATTGGTAACGTCGCTCAACGAGTGAGTGTGCGTCGGGGAAAAAAGAAACCCGCTCGGGAGGGGTTAGAGGAGTAACGATTGAAAAGCAACCATATCCTATGGGACAAGGAAGAGCAAAATTGCATTTCTGTCCGGTCAATAAAACTTTACAACTTATTACTTCCGCAAAATCTATCCCATGTGAAATCGAAGGGAACAATCGACAATGAACTTAAAACACGTAGGCAAATAAAAAATCGAGAATAAAACCAGACCAGATTTCGGAGGATGATTTAAGACATTATTTTCAAGTAGCTAAGGTAAAGAAGTTTTTCCACTTTCTTCAATCCAACTCTTAAAAAAAGGGTATAGGATGAACGAATAATTTTCTCTTTTAAGTAGAGGCGTAGAGCTTTACATTCTTTACATAACTTCAGTTGTTTTATTAGTCCTTTGAATATTCAAAATCTCTACATTTTGTAACATTAATATACAAAAATGTTATTGAATTTTTATTTTTTATTTTTATTTTTTTGTTTTTTTAATAGTCAAAAATTCTAAATTAATTTGATTGCATGGTTTTAAATTTTTAATGGGGTTTTAATTGTCGTACTTTGATAAAATATTGTTTTATTTTTCATTAAATCAATATGGTTTTATAGTAAATAAAATTATGTTATCAAACTTTCATAAAAATTAGATCGTTAATGTTATTTCAAAAATTTTCACTAAGATATATCTTTGAATTAATTCAATATGATAAATATATAATACTTATTAGTTATAACTTATATAAAAAAACATTATTGTTTAAAAATCTAATGATCGGATATACCACAATGGCTTATTTTATTGGGATAATATTTTAATTTAGACAATTCATTTTTTTTTTTAATTTCAACCGATTTTATATTTATAGCATTCGAGTTAAATAAATTATTAATACATCTCGAATAAAAGTATTAATTTATATGCGTATAATATACAGATATTATATAAATATAATTTTACAGTCAAATACTTTTGAAGGGCGTATAATATGTTGCTTTTTTTTACATTTATGCATTGGTTATTAATTAACTATGCGAATTCTAAAAAAATATTTTTATACATGGAAATATTTTTGTATAGAAATTTTGTTTTCATCGAGGATTTTTTATTATTTAACTGATGTTATTAGGAAAAGTGGTCCTGCTGCCACGTATTCCGACGATACCATCAGATTCTACCATACCCTTCAAAAGGCTACAGTTTCCAATTCGTTTAGCTTTTGCCATGTCTATAAATAAATCTCAAGGTCAAACAATGTCCATTTGTGGTTTAGATTTGGAAAATCCATGTTTTTCTCATGGGCAACTATATGTTGCGTGTTCACGTGTTGGGAAACCGTCGAATCTATTTGTGTTAGCTAAAGACAGGTTAACCAAAAGCATTGTGCACCGATTGGTGTTAAATTAAATTGAAAAATTAAAAGTATTTATAATTTAAAAAATTAGATATTAACGTTTAAAAGTTTAAGACTGTCTGCTTAATATCAAGTGTAAGAACATTTAGCCACAGCAACGCGTGGCCGGGTCAGCTAGTTTAATTATAAAATAAGGTTTTGTGTTATATAAATAATATTGGAATTTAAAGATTGAACAATTCAAATTAATAAAATCTCGTGTAATGAATCTACAATATATACGAGATAAGAAATAAATAAATCTAAAACATATTATAAAGTATTAAGTAACTAAAATTGCTCGTTAAATATAATAATTAGTTTTATTTATACTCGTACAAGCTAATTTAACAATCATACACAAACTTTTTCTTCTTAAAAAAAAAAAAACTTAGTTATAAAAATTCTGGTTATTTCAATTTTTAAATAAACTAGAAGACAGTGGCGTATTTACGGGAAGAGGAATATGGAGAATAGATATCCTCCCTCCCCGTTGGTATTTTTTTATGGTAGATATATTAATATTGTTATACCTATGTATATCACAGAAATACAGAATAAAATTATTGAAACGTTACATTTTTTTTAATACTGAATACTGATATATTAGGTGTTTGGAAATATTATGGTTGATGAACGTAGTTCTACACTACTTTGTACTTATCACTAGATATGATTGAAAACAATTCGTATCATCAATCGTCATTATTGTCAATAACCATTCAGGAATAATCATGCTTCTAACAATAAATGTTTGGTTTTCAAAACTTATTTTAGGGTAAGGGAATATTGTATTAATATATACCTATGTCAAAAGATATAAACTTATAAGTTATAACCAATATTATAATTTATAAAATATTGTAAAATATACACATGCATATATATATATAATTTATTATTGCATAACAATATTTTAAAATACGGCATAATAATACGTATCTACTACTCTTTATAGTCGCACATTTGCGCTAGTGCACCATTTTTCACTGTTTTCGTCTTACACATAAATTTATATATTTATCAATACTACTTATTGTGTTTTTATAATTTCCTCCGTTTTATAAAAAAATAACAATTATGAATAGTAAATCTTGAAAACAAAAAAAAATGTTATTTACTTTTTTTTGAAATAAAAAAATTTTCTATAAACACTATTGATACATTCATTTTTTTTTATTTAAGTAGATTTAATGGGTTAGCACTATAGTCGTTCCATCGAAATATTGAGAATTCATCAGAAGAGATCATTTATGAATTTAGTTATAAAACAGAAAATTAGACTTTGTGTTATAGTCATAACGTATAAAAATAATTAAATTAGTAATTTAAGGAAGACAGTTTTAAAAATGTATGTATGTATATGTATTTTTAAGAAACGTTGGCGATGGTAAGTGTATAACATTCTTAATCGAGGACATAATATGTTTGCCAACGGTTATCCTCTTCTTGACAAATCCTAAATGCACCGTTGCTTGAAAACTACTTTCGGATTGTTGACATTTTTTGTGTCATACTTAAAAAGTGTCCAGTGTTTATATTAATAAACTTTTTTTTTCAATTTAAAACCTCTCTTTTAAAAATGAATTATTAAGTAAATATATTTTCTAAAAAAGTTACATATCAAAATTATAATTAAAAAATTTAGTTTTTGAATTGTTTAACTTTGTGTAACTTATAGTAACAGGTACATAATAATTTTAAAATTATGATGTGAAATTATAATAATTAGACAATTTTAATAATTAATAGACATTAATCTATCAACATTAATAGTTTGTAAAAATGAGCCAAGTATAATAAATATTATTTTATATTATATAAAATCAATTTTTAGATTGTTATAAGTTATTTATATTAATTTAAACGACTGAATTACTACTTGTTTGAATTCCTGAATTTTGAATAAGTTACATTAATACATTCTAAAATTATCCACTAATTCATTTTTAGTAAAAAAAAAGGTTTTCATTTAAAAAACTAAAGTTTTTATCACCATAAATCAATATTTAAGTAGTATAAAAAAATTTCAAAAATCAAAATTTGCATATTGGACATTAATAATAATATGTTCATTTAATTTAATTAACAGTAAAATGCTGTAACGATTTTTTTGTTGTTATAAATAAATTTTATAATAGGCATAGAGGTAACATATATTGTAATTGTATTACGTTTTAAAGGTATTCTATTGTTCTTTTAATTTGTATAATTTAAGACAATTAAATACAAATAGGGTTTACTTATTAAATATTTTTACATTTTAGATTTTTACAAACAAATCCATTAAAAATAATCACATAACATTATTATCTTTGATTATTAAAAGCTTATTTAAACAATTTATGAAAAACAAAATAGCTTGTTCACTTTTTGTGTCCCTTTGTATTGTTGAAGTTTTAGTTTCTACTAGGTTATATATGTTGTTCTTCATCCGCGACAAAACGACCTACACTAGCTGATTTTATTGGCAAAACTTTTTGTTTAACCTTACAGTATTCGTGTAAGTATACGTATGAAATAAAGTAGGCGTGCAAGAGTTACTTAAAAATTATTTCTATTAGTTTTCCAGGAAATCAATAAACAAAATAACTTTTTCAGATAGCTGAATATTTTGTATTATATAAATATATTTGCTTATACTTCAATACTATTAACTCTGTGATGCCATAATTAATTTGTTCAGACTAATAATATTTTGTTGACGCAAAATTTGATATTTAAATGTCATATATGATCTTAATGCAGTTCTGTAAATAGCACAAAAAAAAAAAAAAATCATATCAAATATATTCAATGTAAATTTTTATTGTTGCAAAAAAAAATTATATATATAATATATTTGATTAAGTTTTAGGTATAATATTATTAATTATT